CTAACCACTCACTCAAAAGAACCTTCATCAATCTTACCAGAAGAGCATTCATATGGCTGCATTTTGAGAATGCTGGAAGCCGTGGCCAAAGCCTGACATCAGAAACTTGGAAAAGCCGGAAAGCTCATCCTCAGGCTAGCGAATTATCGGCACACAAGACTTCACAGATATTAATACCAAATTCTCAGAAAACGGTTGGGTTCAAGTGATGAGTTATTGGTTTGGAAGGGTTTGATTAACAATCCGTGAATCTGTAGTTGAGTGGTCTTTCGCCTTTGGCACAAAAGCTTGGCCAGGTCAAGTGATTAGGTTGCTAAATTATCCGAGCTCTGCATTGGACGTGGAACTAGCTATCGAGTGCTCCTTAGAATGTCAGAGAGTATGATCCTGTCGGCTAGTCCGGGTTGCCGAAGAATACCCAAAGAGTGCCCGATGGATTGGGAAACGGGATATGATTACTTAGTAGTCCGGCCAACAGCAAATGATTAACTAAAGCTTCTGGGTGCTATTTGTGAATTTTATTGATCTGTGTAGGTCTGATAGGTCGAACCAGTAGCCTGCTCATCTGTCCTGGATAGGTATTCGTCAGACCAGCCGTTTTCCAACGATAAATCCACTGACTGTTTACCAGTCCCTTCTAAAACGAATACGGGATTGTTTTGGCCGAGAGATCTGACGGTAATGTGATCCTCATCTCTATCTATATAACAAACTAAAACAGCATTTACTGTATGAAACACATCTGATAGGTTTCTACCCGCACAAATTAGCTCTTCATTCACGTCGAACATATTCAAAAGTCTTATGGGGGGAAAACGTCACTCTCTTTAATGGCCTTTCAGTTTTTGTACAACCTTGGCAACGGATCTTTCAAACCTACTATAGGTAGCCCATGTTAATCTTTGCTACTGTGCCTGCAATATAAGTTCTCTATAATAACGCGGCAAAACTCCGCAAATACAATATTAAGACTACTATACCCTATAGTATGCTACCCTTCCTGACCGTTTGGATTCTACAGATACATTAATGTAAATCATTACCAGAATCTACTTTACGTATGAAAACACTAAGTTTTAACAAGGAGGAGATACCACATTCGCAACAGAGGAACGACGTGCACAATGATCATTCTGCGGCTGCCTGCAAAGTCTAGAGGCATTAGCTCAATAAAAAGAACATCAAAGTCTAATCGTTCAACAAACAGATTTAGCGTAAAAACATGCACTCAAGAGCCTCAATCAGTACAGGCCAGGAAATTACGGTCTCAGCGACATTCACTTGGGTTTACGGAAGAGGTACAAATATTACTTGTGGGGTAGGGAGGCCGCAAAAGACTACAATTAGCAGACACCTACTGCCATGATACACTAAACTGCAGAGATGTGATAAGGCCACGGTGCACGACACAAGCAGGAAATTTTCACTTAAAGTATTAGGGACACGAAAAGCGGATGGTAGAAACTGGAGTTATTCTCTTCTAAAGGAGTGAGGTTAGCGTGCTTCTGTAGTACCGGCTGCATAGGACATCCAAGGCCGTTAGCCGAAAAGGAAAGGTTGTCGTTTTATAGGACAGAAGGCTTTTGTCTGAGTGGAGTTAGTGACGTCCTGACGTTCGCCAAAATCCCACAAGATTACGTAGAGCTCTATCTAAACACCGCTTCTTATCAGCAATATACCGTTTTCAACTGCTACCACGCTGCTGGAAACATTAAAATCTGGAGGATGGTAGCGTCAGATCTTGATTTCTGATGGATGAAAAGTAGTTAATAAAAGGTCTGCAAGCATGAACTAAAGGCCATGCAGTCCATCGAGGTAAGTATAAAGTGGCTCCCGTTCTCAAGACGTGTCGCTATGACTGCCGCAATCAAAGAAATAGGATTGAACCTCCGTTGTAACCAAACTATTTAGGCCGCTTAATTCACGTTGAATTATGACAGCGTGTAAGACAGAACCCAGAAATATCAAACAAGATTCCGACTGCAAATCGTATAGTTGTAGAACCGTTTCAGTGCATAGCTGACAGCCAACCAGAAGGAAGCACGACGGCTGAGATACTGCCAGGTTGCCCAAAACTAGACAGGAGCAGACGAGATACCGGGGTTGGGTTCGAACCACATACCTTCCTGCCAGTAAGTTGAAGACGGTCGAGAATGGGCTTTACGGACCGCACTTTCAAACCCCGTCAGCTGTTATGGAGGCCGCATGTGCACGTGTGCCTTATAGTCCTGATTTTCCTCCACCTTGAGAATGTGTTCGATTCTGCCGACTAGTTAGTTCTTTACAACACGCCTGCGCAATTGAGTATGCTCTAGAAGTTCGCAGATGGGGTGTGCTGTTTATGTTTGTACACTTGTGAACGCGTAGGAGTTTATGGGGGCCCCCTAAAATCTTTGCTGCAAGTTGTGATGTGTGACAAGGATCTCCACTCTGTTCATTTTGTTTAAGTTCGCCATTGATGAAGTGACGAGGCGGAGTCTGAAAGGTCCCCAAAACCCGGTGTTCAGATCTAGCCAAACAAGAACCTTGTCAACCTGGAATATGCAGACCACATTGTGCTGATTTTTTGAAGAGCAGGAGGCGCAAGTATTACTGGAAAAGTTTACTAGAGTTATCTGGTCGCTCGGCCAGTGCTTTGTCCATAAAGTGCAGTCGTGCCGCGGAGCCTCTACAAATTATGAGTGGCACTGGGATTTACAAGACACAACAGCAACCATGATTGTACGCAATATGCATTTAGAAATTTGCATTAGCTTTGATAATAGTGTCACAGGCAATGTCAATGCACGGATCTCGAAACCCAAAACCGTTTTTGCCAATCTGAACCACTTCTGGCATCAAGGAGGCGTGGATTAGACTAAAGGAGGGGCTGTGTTGGTGTATGGCTAAAACTTCGCCATCTTGGGCAGAGAATCGGAGACATCTCCAGGTCTTTGACTGCATGTGTCTAGAGACCACATCAGGAGTCGGCTTGAACGAAGGAATCCGGACTGAGATTTTGAATGAAGCAGGCAGTACTTTACTGAAGGACTGCATCCATAATTGCAAGCTAAGTTGCCGGGTTACCGCCTGTCGCGAAGACTTGCTTTTCATGAGAAAGTGTGAGTGGCAGGGCGCCATGAAGACACAAGGTCTTGTAGCTATGAGGCATTAACGTTCTCATTCGGTGCTGATGTCAATGATGATAATGAATCGAATTTCTACGCATGTCTTATTCGTTGTTTTCAGCGGAGCATATACGGTTGGTTATTTGAGTTGGACAGCGTTCCGGTGTATTCATTCCGTCATACTGGCTACATTTTCACGCTTTATAATTATTTTACACGTATTAGTCACACAGGCGCTTAGAAGCCTCAACCAATGATGCCATTAAAATATTGTCATTGAAGTTAATTAACAAAATTAATGCCTCAAGGAAGAGGCAGAAGTGTGATGTCATCCTTGCCTGATTACTGAGCAAAGCAAACGTCGGAAGCACAACCGCTCTCAGAACTTCATACAAAAAGATCACTTGGACATGATTAGGGCATTATGCTTTGGTATACACCGCCAGTTCTTGATACCGATCAGCGTATCTATAGAATGTTTCAGTTCTGGTAACGTTCCCGTGGATACGCATGCGTATTCAACCCACTTTCAGGTTCTTGTCAACCATGTATGGGTAATAAGCGAATATAACTATTACCACAACTTTTCGGTTTTCTATTTCTGTGACCTATGAGTAGTTCATGAAGGGCTTCGTGGGATTTTAATGAAAAATATAACCTTACTTTGGTTTATGTGCACTGCAACCGGGCGAGCCATCACTCTGGCTGTGTCAGGTGGAATTCCGCACTCAAACCGTTTCGCACTCGCAACCAGGGGGATGCTAACGCCAAGAAATTCGCCCTGAAAGTGACTGGCCAGAGGGTCGGACAGCGTGCCGCTCCAACATCAAGGCGAGCCCCGATTGGTGAAAACCCTGAGCCAATCGACCAATCATTATCTAGTATTCGCCGAATGCCGGTTGCCAATGTCACCTGCGGAAGACGTCGCGACCTTCAATGTGAGGTCGCCGCAAATAACGTGTTTTCAAGGCGCTGTACACATATCTTCGACCTGTTTTTGAATTTCGGTATATGTTGTGCACCTCTAATGGTTGTTTTGACGGTAACACTAGCTTTTAAGGTTCAGACCGAGAACCAAGCTGAGAAAATGCCCTCATTACGAATATCACTATTACCACAACTTTTCGTTTTTTTTTCATTTTTGTGACCTATGAGGAGTTCATGAAGGGCTTCGTGGGATTTTAATGACAAATATAACCTTACTTTGGTTTATGTGCGCTGCAACAGCGTTTTTTACTGCTTGTTCCAGTTGCACCACGCCTTTGCCTAAGGTGTAATGTTTTTTTAAATATAATCCTCGGTGACTTACACGGTTTCTACATGCATGTGATGCGAGTGTTGTTGACACAAATCAGTGATACCTAATGCGCCATCCAGCGACTATGTGTAATTATACAGTCGCAAATGAGGTATTTATCGTGTAGGCCCAGTTTGTATGGGACGAACCAACGAGAGATTACTTAAGAGGTTGTGGTAATAGCACCAGCCGTAATAAGCTGATATGAGATGTTCTATAGCAGGCCGGATAAACGTACATTCCCTACAGTATGAAAGCCATAGTTTTCATAGGTAATGTTTGAAACACTTCGAAGTAATCCCCAACCCATGGAAACTGTCTAGAACGTTGCCTGCATTGAAACTACTCACCTTTCATGAAAATATGTTGAATAATTCTGACCGTTATAATTTTTCACCATCCATCGTACTAACCCATGTGTGCTTCAACCTCTTACTTCTCTATCTAGTCCATTGCTTGTCAACAACACCAGTCGACTACAACCGTAAGCCTTAAACAAGAGACTGCGCAGCAACTAGAGGCAGAGAAATAAATGTTTTGGTTGGGCTCAGCTAAGTAAATTCAACGAATATTCTGATAATAATTTTGGTACTCACCACCGACAACAATACCCGCAATCGCCCCCGCAGACAAAACGCATTTTGTATTATCGACGAAGTACTCCGAGAAAGCGCTTTTATAGTTATCACTTGGTTGTAGTTCAGTAATCGGTGAGTCCATCTTCACACGGAATTACATGATTTCGTATTGCGCGCTATTTAGAAACCTTGAGCAATCTATTTTATTGGTACATTCGACCGTTTCATCAAGTCTATCTAACACTCCTCTCCGGTTTTGGACCAACGACGTAGGCAACGATGATACGGTTTTTTACACATTCTTGAATCATTATCTATCATATATCTCAAGTTACTCATACAAAAATATAAAGTCAGGTGCCCTTGTTAGGTGAAAGTGGGAAACTGATCTATCTGCAATCGGTTCGCAGTATAAAGACGGCGAATTTGTGGCAAAAATCATCCAAGTGGACTACCAAAAATCTGCCATCTAAACATGCGGATGGGAATCCGTCAGCCAAAACGATCAGACCATCAAGACTCGAAGCTGTAGCTAAGAAGGAAGCATGTTGAACCGTGGTACAGTAGTGTAAGGTCCTTGCCACTCATATTAATTTATGCAATCAGCTGTGATGTAAAACCTTGCTTCTGTTCATGAGATTTCTTCCTGCGTTCCATCCACCAAAATTGTCTTGAACATCTACCTTTGGAGAAGCACTCTCCACCTATGTATCTATGGCCTACATACTCTACATTCAGCGACCACGACAGGGTGGTTATGAAACATTCGTGAACCTACCACAAAGAGCGCGACTCAGCAAACGGACCTACGGGCTTCATAGCTAACACCTTGCTCAATCGCTCAATGCACCCTAGACACAGAAACCTCCGAGCACGCTTACCAGCCTCATGCACCACATCACTAGCAAATGCCGTCTAACGTACGCCATGGATACACCGGGAACGACGATCCTAAAAAGGCAGCCAATCTAGTATACGACGCCTGCCATTCACGTGGATTTACATGAACATATTTGTGACGTACAACCACGTACGCCATGGATACACCGGGAACGACGATCCTAAAAAGGCAGCCAATCTAGTATACGACGCCTGCCATTCACGTGGATTTACATGAACATATTTGTGACGTACAACCTTACTTCTTCGGCAACGGTTCATGGGCTTTATTTCCCATGCTCCGAAGTTGAAGAATCGTCATCCCCTGGTGGATTTAAACCGTGCATTGTTTTTCACAGCCACGCTCCCGTTTATGAATTTTTCCGCCGTTCGAACGATTCAGTGAATTAACTTAAATAGTTGGTTGTGGAATTCCTTCACAGGTGTAACAATTACATGAGAAACGTTGATTAGTTTTGTCCCACCTTGCCCTACAACGGTAGTCAGCAACAAGTAGCTCTCAGCTAAGGTCAAAAAAGCTAAGAGGTATTAACAAGCGTTCCTGCTCTGTTATTGTTAAACGGCGTAGATTTGAAATTCAATTGTGTGGAACAAACGCACTACTCAGTCGACATTTTTGTTTGCTTTAGAAGCCCACATCTCAAGGGCAATTGTTGTTCCACATATAACAGGACCCCTAAATAAAATTAAGCAAACAGAATGCTCTCACGATGGAAAATTTGGTTTAAATTATCTCTCATAATCGGGGTACTTAAGGACAATTTAGCTTTTAATCAGAGGCTTCTGAGGATGCTAACTTCGGGGCAACGGCCATGATCCCTAACTCACTCCCCCACTGACAGAGTACGTAATGCTTCTCATCTTAGGAACGTTAGTCACAGATACGCCCCCAGCTTCGTGTATTTAAAATCAACCCCACCATGATTATACTGATGCGCCGTTACGTGAAAGAGTAAAGGCCGATTATTGAGAGTGGTATATCCACTACACAACGCCAATGACTGGCGAAAGATCCCCGGTGCAGATATTAGGACAACTGTGCAGGGATCGCTCGACTCTGAGCGCTTACAAAAATAGGAACATGTATCCACTCCTCGCACCCTGGATGCACAAGGACTCGGTTGCGCAGAATTTAGAAATTGGAAGCGAAACAGGCCCAGCCTAGCCGATTAAAAACCGACTCCAATGTTCTGGCTAACCTGGTTGTATTTATGAATCCCAGCCGGTGATCTCTAGAGAAGGCAAAGGCTCCAGCGTAAAAGACGTATTCATTCTTGATAGGCTGTGTGACTGCTAACGAATGCGATGGCCTCGCTGAGACGAAATACGCGACCAGCTCACAACCCATGCTTATGGAACCACCGATAATTATTCGTTTGGGAGTTAAGGAGTACACAACAATGCATTCGGCGCTCGCAGCGCGGGTTGGAAAATCTTCTTGCAGAAAACACGGAAAATCTACAGAACGATCAGTAACAAACATTGACATGGACGATTAGAACATTTTTGCAGGTCCGACGACCACTACTGAGCCAGCTCGTATGAACTCTACCCCCATGTTCGCACTTTAGGATGTACCAGTAGATAATAATCCCGATTAATCCCTCTCTAAAAACTTTGCGCTCCCGTGCTCCAACCCTCCTCAGTCAAAATCGGTTGGCTCACTTGATGCTGCAGTCTTTGCCGGTCGCTAGCTCGTCGGAATCTGGGTGCAGTCATCGGCCAAAATGGGCCCTTTGGGTTTATCGCTAAAAACATTACTTATTGGTTTTTTGATATTAGTCGATTTAAGAGGCCCGTCGGAATTCATGTTGGAGTTGGTCTGCTAAACTGCTCCTCCAAGTATTCGGACCACCTGTCCAGTGAACTGTTTGCAGGGGAACGAAACGGTCGCGCCCATCTTTTAATAATTTGCAGACTGTTGGTTTTCCATGGCCTGTCGATCATATAAACTGGTGTAGCTGACGCCTGTTCCTGGTAGCGAAACCCTTATACATTGGCCGGATGTTCCATGTCTACCGAATTGTCGATCTTTCTTTAGGCTATGGACTTTTGCTTATGGGGCATTTTCGTGCGTCACCGTACTCCTTGCTGATGGCCTGGATTTTTCAGCGTCGACTGGGGCTAGCGATGTCAACGATATATAGTTAGCATTTCATCTCATCGAAGGCGTTGGACAGACAGTACTAAAAGCCACTAGCATAGCTTCTTTCACTCGCTGACACGTTTCATCAAAGTGCTTGCGACCAGTGCATTTTTGGTTTACTGTAGAGCGTGGTTGAGCTAGCTCAGATTGATACTGCCACCCTGTATTACCTCTAGGAGGATAGTGGACGAACACATTTCTTGCTGGCATACGGGCGCCTGATAAAAGCCTAACTGTCAGGTGAGCCTGCAACAAGGCGTGTTTGGTATCACGGAATGGCGGCTTAAACGAGTGACTGTCCACTAGTAGTCGCAGGCCAAACGATCCTACTACGCCCGCTTTTGGTTTGCATTCGGTGGCCTCCAGGTTACGCAGTGCGAACGTTCACATTGAAAGTTGATACCCGCGAGAAATGGTTCATGATTCGCACAAAACCGGGGAAGCCACTCCCCGTTGTTTGTGTGACGAGCATCGACTCCGAATTACCAGCAGAGGTGTCACTCCAAGAAGCTCAGACAATCGACTTTGGCATTCATTTCGTCCACCAGGACCACCGTTTCCATCGTTCCTGCTCTGCGGAGGAGCTCGAATAACTCTTGCTGGAAAGGGTCGTAACTGCGGACCATCGAGGGATTGTTGACACTGCATATCGGTGCCGCTTTTATGTTGAGTGGCAGTCAGCTTGATTAGGCTGGTAGTCA